CAGAATGCAACAACCAACTAAAAGAACCAACTAGGCAGAATGCAACAACCAAGTAAGAGAATGCACCAGCCAGCTAAATAGACAGGAATGACCATTCAGCCCCACTGGCCATCTGATTTTAAGTCAAAGAACAAAACCACAAAGTAATGGTTGAGTGCATATAGGCACAACTGCTGAAAAGCATGTGACCACGTGTGTGACCCCCAAGAGGTTTTGCTAGATGAGATGTGGGTTGAACTCGTCAGTACAAGTGTTCTGTTTGAGCACATTAGTGAACAGTGTCCGGTTTGGGGTTGTACAGGAGCAAGTAATTAAGGCCCAGGTCTGTTTCTCACTGTCTTAACCTTTTTGCTTCAGCTGTTCCTGAAGTTCCTGTCAGCATGTTGTACAAAGGTAATGGCAGACAGGAATGATAGGGGAGAATGAGGCGAGTAATGAAAGACCACGCACAGTCATTATAGGAATAAATGGCATAACAAATTGTTATAGCCATTCATTAATTACATACCAACACTGTCAGATCTTTACTCTGTTGTTGCAAATATTATTATGCTTGGCTTGAATTACACTCATTGTCTTCTGCCTTCATCCCTCCTCTTCCCTTTGTTATCCCTGTTTCCTTGTTTCATCATACGCCATTACACAGGGAAGAGGTTCATTACTCGAAAACACGTTTTACAAACGTCACCCCCCCCCACATTTGTTCACTAGATCTCCTGAGTGAAGATGTCAATCGGTTAGGCTCAGTGATCACAAACTACAGTTTAAATTGGTACATGATGAATAACTTTTCCCCTATTACTGGATGTCAGAGGTGGATAAATATATTTTTTTCAAGTTATTTTTCTGATAGCAGTTTTTTCGGGGTGAGCATGATGTCTGGAAAAGATTATCAAGTGCATCTGTACAACAAATGTACAGATTATGCTAATCGTTGGCAGGCGACCACGGTAGTTTTTTCATCATTTTGAGACTCTTAGGCAGAAACTTAATTTACCTGTCCCCGTATTCTTTTTAGACCTTCACCTACATTTTACATGCTAGGCAATGAAAGTGCCCTGAATAGATTTTTGTCAAGAGAGGATGACATTTAGCTAGCCAGTTTTTAAAACTGAAACATTTTAAGGAGACCTTTCAAACATGAGTATGAGCTGAGTAAACAAAAATAATCTCACAACTAAAAACACTTAATTATTTAAAAAATGTGTATTGTTATTCTTAGAGCAAAAGGGGTAGGGCTGTTAACCCCTACAATCTCACTAATGTAAAACACGTTTGTCACAGTAACCATTTTATTGTCCAATTTGATGCATCCCAATATACTTTGTTAAGCACCATTGTCTATAATCCTCAGCAAATACATAAGAATAATAATACACAAAAACACACACAGGTTTGTCTTGATATCTTTATGTGGATTTTGCATTGACTTCCATTCATTTTTCATTTATTTCTATAGCCTAACTCTGACCCTTACCCTAAACAGGTCTCTATGAGTCCTCGTGGTTCAATGGGACTAAACTGTTTAAATAAAGATTGAATGAAAAAAAAAAAAAAACTAAAAAAAAAACGAACCCATCCTCAAATTCACATGTTAGTACTAAACCTGAACCCAAATCCATCAAAAACACTTGAACCTTATGAGGACCGGGCCTTGGTAATTGCAAAGAGCAGTTGTTACTCACAATGCATTATGTGTTCAAAAACGGTCCTCACAAAGTAAATAAACACGCACACACACACTATACATACATATATACATACATATATATATATATATGTATGTATATATGTTTGTAAAAACTTGATTTAATTGCAATGTTTTAAGTGTGGACCCCAGGAAGAATAGTCTCTACTACGGTATAAACTAATGGGGATCCTTAAATAAACAAACATATATATATATATATATATATATATATATATATATATATATATAATTGTATGTTTTAACAAGCATAAAAAATGTACAAAGTATACCAAAGTATTTAACCATGCAGTGTTAAAAAACACAGGTAGGAGCACGTTGAAAGTTTTTCTTTTTGACAGTTAACTTTATCTCAAACCACTGAGAAAATACGCTTCATTTTGATGTTTGTGTGTGTGTGTTTGTGTGTACAAGTTAATTTTGTATTTATTTAAATATTTCTACCCAGTCCTGTTTCCCTGGCTGGTTGGCTAACACAGCAATCTTGGCAATAAATCATGTTTCCATGTAATTACAATCAACACTCAGCAAATGAATTGGTATAAATATTCATGCAGATTTCTCTTGGCTAGTCAGAAATTAGTTGTATAACAGAAACTGGGACCAAGAGAAAAACTGCTCTCTATAGGTGTAATAACACGTAAAGAGTTGTCAAGATATTAAATCATTTTGTTTGTTTGTTTGTCTTGTTTTACTCCATTTCTCTGCAACACTCCATAAGTGTTAGGTGTGCTAACAAGTCCCACAGCTTGTGTAGCAAACAAATAGGGCTTTTTCTCCAGATCAGATTTATCCGAGTGCCCTTGTTCTTGGCATAGTTTTTTTAATGATACGAATAATTAAAAAAAACAACTGTCACCTAATGAATTGCAGAGAAAAGAAACAGTCTTACAGCAAACTGTGAGAAAATTGAGTTTGGGAGAGGAAAAAAAGAAAAAAGAAGCTGATGGGAAGAAAGTGAAATAAGCAAATAGATTTTAGTCACCTGAATCCCCCCCACCCACTTATTTTCACTAGAGGGAGAGCAAGATAGAAGAGAAGGAGGCGAAAAAGCTCATTTGTTTGCCGACTAGAAATAGAGTTTGCAAAAAATTGCTGAAGGCTTTGGATTAGAATCTGCAGCCACCGTTGTCTGCACTGCAACCTTTGCTTCATTCAGTCCAACACTTTTTAAATAAATGAAATAAAAAGCAAATCTTCCTCCACCAACCAGTCGCCCATACAGTGAGTACTAAATTGTTTTTTTGCGGGGTAATCGGTGTCTGAGTTGGTGTTCTAGGAGTAAAATAAATAACAAAATACTCAACGTGTACTCATTATTTGATACCTTTAAAGTCAAAACTAAATGTACCTTTAAGTTTTCCTCCCCATCCTCCAGTCATGACTTCGTGTGCAACTCATCCACAAGGTATTGCAACTGTCAAGTCATTTCCTAAAACAAATACATTAGCATCTGTTCTATTTTTGAACATTCTAATCCAATAAAACGTATTTTATTTGGCCTCAGGTTTAGAAATTTTTGTGCACCCACAAGCCTTTTGAGACTCCCCAGGCTTAACTATTTGCATTTCATTTCACGTTAGCGCCACTATTCGTTATTTTTGCCAGATGAAAATGTATCCCCTAAAAGAATCCTGGCAGTGAAGTGCCTTTTTTACAGGGTGTGCCTTTGGATTAAAATCAAGCTGTGATGGCCACGAGTGACTGAGCAAATTCATCATCCAAAAAAAAAAAAAAACGAACAATGAAAATGTGCCACAGGTTTGTGGCTGAAGTTCGGCTCAGCCCATTTCCTGGAATTTAAAGGGGAAACACATGGGCCGCCTGACTCAAGGGTACCTGGAGCCAATAAAAACACGACCATGCCACTTATGACAATAATGACTGACCTCTTGGATTTGATTTTCATTTCCCTGCAGCCCTATAAAAACATTCAGCATCTCTCTGTTTGAACCCCCACTTCTTTTATCCGGCACTACATGTTAAACGGGTATCATATTGCTCAGACAAAATAGTTAGCCTCCTCATGACTCTAGTTATAGCTGTTAGATTCAAATTATCTCTTAATTTAGCCTGTCAGACTCCCCTCATTAATGTGATGCATAGCACATGCACAGAACATACAATGGTGAGTGTGTTTATGTTTTACCACGGTTTCTCATCCATTTTTCAAAGGCTGTATAGGTTTATAATTACGGCCACCTTCAAGATAGCCTCTGGATGAAATAAAGGATAATAGAAAACTTATTTAAGAAAGACTGTGTGTGTGATTTCAAATGTAAATACCTTTGACAGATGGCAATGACCCACTAAGGTGAACCACAGGAAGTAATTGTGGCTGGATTGTATTCGGGGCAAAGAGAGCAAACATAAACTGCAGGGACCAGTGTGTTATTGCAGTCAACCAACAGAAATAGGAGGGATATGGTGAAAAATACTTGAGCAAGCAAGATGGACTGGAAGATAAAAGGGCCAAGAGAAAAGCGAGACTGGGAGAGTGGGCATACATGAGCCCAGCCATGATTGCCAAAATTGCCTGTCAGTAATTAGGAACCCATGTTTTAAAT